GCGAAATATAAATCGTCTTCTGCGTCAGTGTGTAATATGCTGTAAATAATGTAAATCCAATTTGTTGCTGCTCTTGCTGCCGTATACACTATTCATCTAGTTGTTACATTCGCTTTTTGGCTTGCATTAGCTGCACAGTGAGATAAAAGTGCATGAAAAGCATCAAATTGTCAGAAATGCCAGCCATTTAGCGCCAAGTAAAAACCATTTGCCAAGTCTGTTTTATTTATAATTTTCAACTATTAAGGTTTGATTTGATTTGAGCTGTTACTCCATTTATTTCTTCTGTTTTAACAAACTATAAGCACCCTTTGGCATATGCACTTCAATTTAAGGGCATTTTAGTTTCAGTGTATGAATACTTTTATTTCTAGTTTCATTTTTATTTTCATTTGCATGCCGCATACCATTCCACTTTCCCTTTGAGTGCTTTTTCTTTGCGGTTTTTCTTGTATTCAAAATAGAAAATATTCGCATTAGGCATTTATGATGATTCTTTCTGATTTTATTAAAACATTTGCCTTGTATATTATTGAGTAACAATTATAATTATTATTTTTTTTATTTTTTACTTTTATTTATTTATTTTATTTATTTTTTTATGTGCTTTGAATATATTTATATTTTAAGAATATCCCAGCTCTTTTTCTACGTGGATATTTTTAAGGAATTCGTACCAAAATTCCAATTGAGCTATGAATTAAATTGTTAACTGAATCGATAGTGAAATTCTGTAGCTTATGAAGGCAGAGTCTGCTCATAGCTGGAGCTAGAGGTGGTCCACCATTGGCTATATAGGAAGCATCCGAAATTGAGGCACGTTTAGAGCTCTTTACAGATTCCGTTTCAGCTTAGATTTATGCAAAGCTAACGAGTTTCATCAATATTAATGACAGAGACAAATGTGATTAAAGTTGAGCTAGGAATTCAGGTTGGCGAGCTGCTTACAGCCCGCTATCAGCAACGACTGCGCCTCGTATAGCAGCAATCAAATTAAACTTGAAGTGATTTTCAATTGGAAATTCTTGTGACGGCCCTGGCAGACCGCAGTACACTTAAGTGTATTCAAATTAAACTGACGCAGGACCCACAACAATCAGGCAGCAGTCAGACAACACATAGCCAACCGCCACACACACACACACACACACACAACCAGTCTATGGCCTCAGAATTGAAACGGAGACAATGGCAGAGCCAGCAAAGCATTCTCCTAGTGGGCCATCAAAATGAAAGGCATGGCTGGCGCAACGGCTATATATATTCCTCCAGCTCCAGCTCCAGCTCCAGCTCCAGCTCCGGCTCCAGCTCTAGTTACTGCTTCTGCGTCTGCTTTTGCTCCTGCTCTTGCTCTGGCTTCACGCAGTGGCTCCTCCAGCTACTGCTTCGGCCTTCGGCTTTGGTTTTGTTCAAGTGGCAGCCGTTTTAGTGGACATTTCGCTTGTAATGCGTTGTTGTTGTTGCTGTAATTATCTGATTGTGTATCTGTATTCTGTAAATGGTGCGCTGTCAACGCAACAAACACCCGTTTCTACTCTAACTCAAGCTTCTGCCTCAACTCCTGCCAGCGCTGTCCTTGTGGTCTTTTGGCAACGTTTAGCGCGTGTGCGAGTTGCGCGGTTTTTGAGCTGCCGGTGATTAGATTGTCTGATACTTTAATAGGATTGTAAAAGCCCTCTCAGACACAGACATCCACGCACACACACACACATACATCTACAAGCTCTCTGCTCTATTGTTGGGCTGTGTTTGTGCTGCGATCCTTAAACTCAATTTTAAACCAAAAAAAAATGCATGCGGCTTTCAAAAGTGCGGCGTGGTGCTTGCACCTTGGGTACAAAGTTTCGCGAAATATGGCTAGGCGCTTTGTGCTCTGGGATTGTTATAAAAAATGCATTACTTTAATGACTAATAATTGAGCTTATGTTCCTTTATTGTTGACTCAAAGGCTTTGTTATTGTAGATATTGAAAAACTAGCTGAAGCCTAGTTGAAGAGGCATTTCGTAGATTAACACATTTTTGCTTATTAATTATTCTTTAATAATTTATAATATATAATAAAATACATATTGCTTACTTAGGATTGCTCATAAATAAACAGCAATGAATAGGGATAATTTTAAACAAAATATGGATCATTATATTCATATATCATAACATTTTTAAATACTAAAAAATCAGCTGAATATCAATAAAAACACCTTAAACTAAATATTGCTTTAGATGTGAATCTGTGAATACAATGTGCTTTACAGTTTAAATGGTTTGCGACTTAGAAGCTCGTCTATGCGATTCTTAAAAATACTTATTATGAAAAATATCAAACGAAATGAATTTTCGCTATAAGCCACAATAAACGAACGTTACAATTTGTCCAGGAGTTAAGCAGCTTAAGCGCTTAAAATTCAGTACAAATAGCTCACGAGGTAACTCCTAAGTATCACATAGAGATAGATAGATGAAAAGGGAGAGAGCGAAAGGGAGACAGGGAGAGGGGTGCATGCTAGTTGTTAGCTATTAAATACTTATTGCTCTGGTACAGAGCTCCCTAGCCTGATGGACAGACATCGAAATGCTGAAAATGCTGTGTGTACCAGCAAATAAACAGTTAACGGCTTATGAATTACACATAAGTGGGGCACAACATGATGGATCCGAACTTGGCCAGAGTTGCCCCCAGGAAATCAGTATTAAAATCGCATTACGTGCGCCTCACTTGACAATGGGGGCAATGCAAAATTTGCAGCCAGAGGGAAAATGTGAGAGCTCTACAAAAAAGAAGAATATTAAATAAGAAATTGAAAAACGGATAGCGAAAAAGGAGGAAGAGAGTTAGGGAAGCGTCTACCAAATATACTGACAGCCAGAATGTTGAGGAAGTTTATAAAAGCTGCAAGACCTGCAAGCCCAGGCACCCCACTGCGCCTGTCCGGGTGGCTGCTTAGAGTTGCCAGCTCTACGGTATGGCCTGGGGCATTAGCCTTAAAATGCATTTGTAGTTTGCTGTGTGGGCGAAGGGCCAATGGCAAGTGCAGCGAGCGGCTGCCTCGACTGGCTGTCAGTGGAGCAAGTAAAAATGAAAAGTTGCACATTGCCGGGGCAGCAATTGTGGTTTCTAATTGTTTGGGGTATTTTACACTAACAATTGGCCGCAACGATGCGCAGTAATTTGAACTTTTCACTGTGAATCAGAAGCAACTGCCACAGGAATATCAAATACAAGCAAATCAATTCGTTCTGACATTGCCCAGCTCAATTTCGCAAACAACAAAAAGTATCTTATTTTACGACGTTTTTTTGAATAATGAATAAGACAAGTCGGTCAATATGTAACTGAATATGCGGTCTATTGCCAAGTTTGGATTAGCAGCAATCAATAATTAAACAGAATAACGAACTTTGTTAACTCCAGCTGCAATTGCAGTAAAAGCAGCAATGATTGGAAAGCATTAGCCATAAAAAGACGCTTTGCAGTAGAGGTATTCCATTTATATATTTAATTTGTATGCTTCAATATCAAAATCGCTGTCCCGGATTGAAAGGCGACGGTCGAAAATCGAAGGGATTCCATTGATTTCCAGGTGGAGGCGGCGGCATAGGATGTCGATGTATGCTTGATTGACCCAGATCAAGGCAACAGGCGAAGATTGCGAAAAGCAAAACAATGATGATGTTGCGCATCTTGAAGTAATCTACAAACTGATGCATGCTAGAGCCGAGCTTGGCTTTTATACTACAAATTAAGTCCAGTGTGAATCCCTCAATGTATTTTACCCGCTGACTTATCACGGGTAAAAAACCTCAGTCGTAGATTATTTTTGTGGATTCATGAGCTCTAATGTCTGTATTAAAAGTTAGTGGCTGCTTATCGGGGCAATAAATTCTCTTCCAGGTGCAGGTGATTGACCTCGACCAAAGCAGCAGACGATGAAGCGGCGATCAGCATGAAAATGATGCGTGGCATGTTGCAGCTGAGACTGACAAATCTTAGAGTCAAAATTGTCGATTCAAAATCAGAATCTGGTGCGAACCCTCTATGTAATTACGCATTAGCTTATCTCGGGTAAAGCCCCTAGAAAGTAATTTTTATTGATTTCTATTTAAAGCTGCGCTAAGATGACTAGTTCTACATACTGAGCTCAAGTTGAGCAAGCTTAAAATGTACTTTTAAATAACTTTTAAAATACCTTTTAGATTAAATAATGAAAAATATTAAATGCTTTATTTTTATTAGAAATGATAACTAGACGCTTAGTAAATAATTCACTGTTTCAATTACAACAGCTCCTTGTTCCACAGCAGCTCAAAGCTTTATATATTGTATAACTGGCAGACAGTGCAGCTTAAGAGCTCATTTATAAGGCTTCGCCATGCTGCGAGGCAGGCAAATGTGACAATGAGCTATATCAAAGTGGTTTTTAATCAATTTTTATTTTATTCGCCTTTTTTTGCGGCGAAAGCGAAATAAATTACAGTGCGCCATGAATAGAGCCAGCTGTGTGTGTTACATGGCAAATGGGATGTACGAGCATGTGCTTAGAGAAGGCTGAGAGTTTATTAAAAAGAAACGCGCACACAAAAAAAATTGCGTCTAAAAATGAAAAATGCTTTCCCAGCAACGAGCAGCAAGCAGCAAGCAGCGAACAGCGAACAGCGAGTTAAATGTAAAGCGGTTTGTTAGGCTATGCCACACACACTCACACATACACACACACATACGCTGACACACATACACGCAACTACAGACAAGCGCACTTAATGCAGATTTATGAATTTAATAATAGCAAAAACACCGCCAACACACACCAACTCACACTAGCCAACACACACATCTCTACTTAAGCTGCAAAGTGTTAAGACGCATTAACAAATCCTTTTTCCTTTAGGTCTCGTAATAAACTTAACGACTGTAACACATCATTTTTTAAGTCTACAAAGAAAGCAGCAAAAACGTATTAACAAAAAATGTTAATAATGAAAGCGAGTTATTAGCTGACGAGTTTGAAGTTATTTTATATTTTACTGAGCAACATTGTTTATGTCTCTGTTAATGTTCACTTAAAGCTAAAGCAAACGTTCTATAAAATTTGTTATATACTATAATATAACATATGTATTATTTTTGTGCTGAATGCGCAAAAGTTTTAATTAAAAGTCAGAATTGACCGATCCGCAATGCTTCTTTGTTTTTATTAACCTTTGGTCCACTCACGGCACTTGTCGTTGTAGCTGCCGCGTGTCAAGTGAAAAGTGAATTAAGGCTGATTGCATTCAAGCAGGTCAAGTGTCGAAGCTGGAATTGAAATGGAAAAGCAGTCCAAAGCCAAAACGGAAATGTGACACGTTGTACTTGGCGATGGCTGCCAACATTTCTGGAGCAAAATAATACGAAAAAAAAAACAAAAAATGGAAGAAAAATAAAATTAATTTCATTAATGCACACGGCTAGCAGCAAATGAATTGAAAGCGGACTTGGCAATTGTGCCATGAGGGGTCGAGACAACTGCCGTTTAATCAACATAAATGGAAATACGGTATTGCAATCAATTTTATGGAAACTGCCGCTTGAGCTCCGCTAGGCGTGTTAGAAACTCGTCCCGTGCAGCTCGCCTCGCCTGTAGCGCCTCGAGCGGCACAAGCTGCTCGCATTGGCGAGCTATCTCCGCCAGCGATTCGGCCTCAGCGCCCATGTCGGGTGTTGGTCCATAGGTGGCGCTCACAGCGGCTATTTCGCCACCAAATCGCTGAAAATAGTCGGCTATGCCGCCGGGCGCATTCAGATGCACTGTCTCTAGTGAACCCATCAGTGCATACCTCATGCCCAATCCATCGCTCAGCACGCGATCCGCATCTGCCACGCTGATGATGCCCGCTGAGACCAGACGCCAAACCTCGTTCAGTATGGCGTATTGTATGCGATTTGTGGCGAAACCCTGAATCTCACGCCTCAGCACCACAGGTCGCTGACCCAGAGCCAGCATCAGCTGGCGAGTGCGCTCCACAGCCTCCTCGGTAGTCCAGGGAGCCGGCACCAGCTCCACGAGAGGTATGAAATAGGGTGGATTGAGTGGGTGAGCCACAAGCATCTGCAGCAAATAGGAGAGAAAACTTAATGCTATTAATGCAAAAAATACAAGGAAAGAAAGAGAGAGAGGGAGAGAGAGAGAGAGAGAGAGAGAGAGAGAGAGAGAGAGAGAGAGAGAGAGAGAGAGAGAGAGAGAGAGAGAGAGAGAGAGAGAGAGAGAGAAAGAGAGAGAGAGGGGAACAGAAATAGAACTGAGAAGAAAGCTGGAAAAATGTTTAAAATAAAAGAGAGAGATGCACCAGTAGAGATAGAGAGATAGAGATAGTGGTAGAGAGAGAGAGAGAGATAGAGATAGGAAGCATACGTGATTCGAGAAAAGAAAACTGAGACTAAGGTTTAAAGGCCTTTGTTCTTAGATAGCCCATATTTATATGCTTCAAATTCTATGACCTGACTGACTGACTGAAGATTGTAGCAATTAATTAGAAACTAACACTTGTAGCAACATTTATATTAACGATTTAACTTATGGCTACATTTTAATCGCGAACCTATTTAACATGAGCATGAAGTGTATCATGAATGTAAGAGGTAGAAGCAGGCGTGGCAGACTGCCTATATATATATATATACTGCTGACGCATAGACCTAAACCACAGCAAGTGGACACTTCAAATTTACTCAGCTCTGAGTGCACAGATTTTGAATATTTTTGGTTGGGATACCTCGTTCCCTTTTACAGTCTGAAACTTTCATTAACAAAGTGCACCTTTGGGAAAAGTTATGTAATATAGTAAGCTCCTTGAGCGAAAGCAGTCGCTGCAATTTTACCTGAGAGCGTCGCTCCAAGGACTCACTGTAGAGTGAGGGCATGAATGTGCTAGTCGAGCTGGCTAGCACGGTTTGTGGTTCGAGCAGCACATCTAATTGGGCATACAGTGAACGCTTCAGCTGCAGCTGCTCCGGCACGCATTCCTGTATGTGCAGAGCATCCTGCACCAACTCCTTCAGCTGAGTGCAGCCGCTGATGAGTTCGTATTGCGCCGCGGCCGTTAACTTGCCACGCAACGCGCCCTTCGCCTCCAATTGTTGCAGCTCCTCACGTAGCCCATCGAGTGCCGTCGTCACCTGCGACTCCAGAATATCATAAAGCTGAACTCGATAGCCGGCCGAGGCGAACAGCATTGCCCACGCACGCCCAATCAGACCGCTGCCCACGATGCCGATCTTCTGACCACCCATTTTGTACTGCCGTCAAACGAGACTCCGCGCTGTTGTCGCCAACCTCGGCGTCGTCGAGCTGGGCTCGAGATTTATCGCTGTGGGTTCGAGTTCATGCCGCATACACATAATTAAAATGCCATTAATGATAATGACTTGTTGATTTTTCTGCTTTGCATTCGGGTTTGGGGCATGTGGATGCTGTTTGTCACGCAGAAATGCTAAGTAGAGGAAAAGTTTCAAGTCGCATAAGTGCGACTGCCAACAACTGAAGTGAAGTGCGGAAAAACTTTTGTATTAAAAAGCCTGAGTTATTCATGCCTCGTCGACGTTTCTTGAATATTGTAATAAGTATGAGTTTTTCAAATAATTTATATCGATATATGATGTCAGTTTGTAATGAAGAAATAATCGTATGTGCGGCCAGTGAAGAATCCGCCTGGTATAATTTAGTGTAAGAGAGCCAATATATAATATATATATATATATATAATATATTTATATATATATAATGAATAGCTTAGCTTAATTTCCAAACATTTTAATGTTCACTAAAAACTTTCTAGCTGTGACATTTTATTTTACATTAGCAGCTCGAACAACTCTCAACGCGACAGCTCGCTGCAGAGTATATTTGAATTATATTAAATAGTATTAAATTTATTATCAGCTTTGCTTGAATATTTGTTGCTTTGCCTTTATACGAGGCAACTCTTTACGGCTTATCAGCTTCTGTTTCGCTATTCACATTCAATAATCACTTTCTGTTCCACATAATGTGTTCAGTTTTTATAGACTATATAATTAATTGTTATGGCTTGACAGCCAATTGACAGCTTCGAGCAGACAATTAACGCACCCTATCGCAGCTGCTGTTAGTTCCGACATTAATTGCCTGGTTAGTATTAAAGCATTTTCCATTGAGTGTCCATTCGATTGGGTACACATGAGGGAGCACGTCGTAATGCCCATGTTTCGGATTGTTAGTTGAGTGCTTGGCGCTGAGATTCTTTTTTCTTTGTGTTCCCTTTTTTTGTGTGGCAATAACAGAGGAGTCTGCATGTAATACTTTTATGCATATTTCGCGCATATTTTTCTGACATTGTAAGTGGCTGTGGCTGGCAGCTATAAATTATTGAATAAGCACTGCCGCCAGCAGCAGCAACAACACCAGGAGCAGCAACAGCAACGGCAATAAGAGACAGCACAAACACAGACAGAGACATACGTTGGCTGAATTTGGTTCATGGCTTTGCCAGTCGTTTTCATATGTAAACCACATTAATCATACGCCCCGTTTGCGTTTTCATTTACGCCAACTGACATATGAAAAACGAACAACAACAACAATGACGGTGACGCTGTTAGGCGTTACAGACCAGGTTAAATCAGCCATGAAATGCCAACTACATCCAACACAATGAATGAAACCAAGAAAAAAGAAAATAAAAATAATGAAAAAAAATGCTGTATATATATACAATGTATGTATGCATATATGTCTGTATACACATATATATATAAAGATATATATATATATACATCTGTTCGAGCATTGTATTTCAGTTCGTTGCATTTAAATGATTGTTAATAAAATGGAAATCAATACGAAACACTTACAATTTGCTTATGTCCCTGGGCAAGGATGAGAAAAACGGAGCTCACTGCACCCGAAGTTCAAAACAATTTGTGGGTATTAACTTACCAAAGGTTTCTCTCTGTCTCCATCTCTCGCTATCCGACAGCTTTAAAAGCAAACAGAAATCAGTGCATGACATGTAAATGCAGGTGGAGAACTGCACAAAGTGCTTTTTACAAAGGCAAATCGACTCGCCAAACGATCAATTGCTCTTCGATGAATGCAATAAAAAGGTATCATAGTAAACATTGCGTAGATTATAAAGGATAATATAAATTTATATTTAAAAAATATTGAGTTATTAAAAAATTACAAATGTGTGGCAAGCAAAGGCTTGGCTCAAAAACCCAAACTGAAGGCTTTTGGACAGGATAAAAGTTCTTAGTCCTGCAAATAGAACGCAAATATTAAAATATTAGCCATCTATAAAGTTACTTAGTCTATTTATGTATCTATAAATTGATGGAATATATATGCAATAGACAAAGGACAAATACATTTTGTTCAATATGTCGAGTTTTGGTCAATTATCAATCAACTTATTAAGTTGAGATAAGCTGAAATAAAGTAAAGTTTAGTTACCTTATTTTTACCGTTTTCAGAACTTACAACTTATATTAATCAACTAAATTAATACTGATTATATTAAGCTACTTACACTAAGCTAATTAAATTTAATTTCTCTTAGGCAACAATAATTCTTTTTGAGATGAGTTTTCATTAAACATCGAATTGATTCATATTTCGGTATAAAATTGGTTGGTTAATTTGGTATATCTTAAATTTATTGTAAAAATTATATAAAAATGAACCGTTTGACAAATATTGAATTTCGTGCACACGTTTACCCTGTACCCAGGCCCTAAGTTCTTATACTAAGTCCATAGCCATGGGTTAGGGTTTACCCAGCTTTCTAATCCTAATTCCACACCCTTGAGATATATTCTGTGTAGTTTTTTCTACCTTAAAGTCTGCTTGAGTCCGTAGTTAGGCTCTTACTACCGTCTTGCCACTTGTTAGCCGGGCCAATGTCACAACAACAACAAAAGCATTGAAATAAGCAAAAGCAAAAAAAAAAACAAATGGAAAAACTTCAGCAAAAAATGAAAAATTTTTCATTCCGCACGCACACAAAATAAAATCAAACAGAAAAAGTGAACAGCAGCGGGTCCTGGCATATGGCTACAGGACATATGGTCGCTGATATTTTTGGCCATGTTTGGATATTTTTTTCTTGCTATTTTTTCAGCTATTTTGTTTTGATAGGGCTGCAATTTTTTGTGCTGGTGTTTGATCTGAATCTGGCTGAGTGGGGAGCGTTTGTCCCTGTGCTGCCAGATTTTACCTGTTTGCTTAACAGAACTTTTCCCCTTTCCCTATTAGTATTTCAGTTTTTCCAGCTGTATTCGTTGCGCAACTAAAGTACTTAAGCAATTTTTATCGTAGGACTTTGTCAGTTCAAATTGTTTGCTGTTTGCTTCAAACTTGTCGCAAGTCGAATTGACTCCCATACAAAAATTACAGAAAAAAAAAAAGAAATGAGCAACTTTGCTACTGCAAATTGCAGTTTACTTTGCTGCTTACGACCAGAAACCTGCAACATCATAAATGCCACAGCATTTGGCGATGCCTTTACATAGTGGGTGTGGCATGCTAAGAGACTTCCCCAGGTCCCGCTCAGCAGTTCGGGTTATTGTACTTGCCTAAAGAGAAACTCTGGGCCGCCAGCTTTGGTCTCTGCAAGTTTTGCTTTGACACTTTGACATTGACAATGATGTATGTGCTCACTACTGAAAGTGTGTATATGTGTATGAGTGTGTGCGTGTGTGTGTATGATGTGCATGGGCGTGGCAATGCTTTGTCATTAAATATCGATTACTTAAGTGCAGAAAGCGTAGTTAATAGCTTGTATTTGTTAGAATTAGTCAATTTGTGCACAATTAAGGTTTAGTTTTCTCTATTTAAACTAGGAACTAATACTTTCATGACCATGAAGGTCGTGGATTATTAAACTACGAACATCAAGAATCGATCTTATATTCTATTTCCTTTTTATCCTGTCCGTCTATCTGTATATATGAATACCTTCATGTCGGAACCCGTAAGAGATGGAGACTGCAATTGCATAGGAGTTTTTAATCTGTTTTAGCGAATATTCTGAGGTCATTTTTTCGTTTTCAATTGAAGATATTATTTCCATATTTATTACCTTCCTTGCATTTCTTTTATAACATTTACACTATTTGATTCTGAAGATCATAACTTCAAATACATTGTAGATGATGATTGTTGTAAGCTTAAGTCTGGCTTAAGTAACATGTGATTTAGTATGTGTTTTTTGTATGTGTTTACCTAGATTCACGCTGTCTTGCAAACGCTGGATGTAGGATAGCTCCCAGTCGAGTACACCCGCCTAGAGCTTTTTAGTTTGTTTTTGATGCCACTTGCCCACTTCCTGTCTACTTTATTTTAATAGTAACGTCAAAAAAAAAAATAATAAAATGATTGTATGTATGAACATATGTTCTAACATTTTTATTCAAATTATATATTTTGATTAATGTTACTTTAGTAGCTAAAAGTGAATGTCGGGAAGTCATTTTAATATGGAATAAAATAATGTTTATATTTATTTATATTTTTATAGTATTTCCTTTAATAAAATATATATACTCAATAATTTACTAATTATATAAAATATCTAAAATAATTCAAAAACTATTTCTTTAAAAATCAAATTCACATAAAATATTCTTGAGTTATAAACATTTTTTATTTATGCATATATATATGTCCAATTATTTATATATATATATATATATATATATATATATATATATATATATATATATATATATATATATATATATATATATATATATATATATATATATATATATATATATATATATATATATATATATATGTCCAATTATTTTCTTTTTTGCTGCTATTGGAAACCATATTATATTTATACTTTGATGAATATTAAAATATATTTCCTTGCAAGAGTTTCGAGCATTTGACCCTAGGGCTCTTGTTGCCTTCTCTTAGGTCAAACATGCGTGCAAAATTACTTGCCTTTACAATAAATTTTAATGGAGATGTTGGCAATATGCTAAACGAAATAATTTAATAAAGTTACTTAATTGAAGCGAGTAATTTGTCATGTAAAAATTGACTGCACCCTTGAGCTCCTAACCCTTGATTCATTAACTATTTATTTATAAATCAATTTACGGTCAGCTTCACAATTCAATAGCAACTAAATTCGTTATTGGTTTACCATATTTTATTTTACAACATATTTTCTCCTATTTTTTTCTGTTTTTATTGTGAAATTTTATTAGGGGCAATTTATGTTGACATGTCGAGCGAATGG